GAGGCGGAGCCCCCGTGCTCCGCCAGCCAGGGCAGCCCGCACAGGGAGGCAGGTACGCGGGGCGGGCGGGGGTGCACGCGGCCGGCCCTCGTCGCGGGACTGCGCGGTGGCCTTTACCCGCAGCGTGGGTTTGGACCAGTCACTGGCATTTATTTCAAAGCGAAAGACTTCCCCTAAATTCCTGAACTAGCGTCCTTTGGGCTCCAAACCACACTTCCCGTGAGCCTCCGTAGCTTCCCGGCCAACACGCTGGGAAATCAGACTTCATTTCCCATGAGGCGCTGCGGCTCCCCGGCCAATAACCGGTTTCTAGAACTACACTTCCCATGAGGCTCTATGGCGCCCCAGCCAATACGCTGGAAGCAGAACTACACTTCCCGTGGGTTTCCGTAGCTCTCCGGCCAATACGCTGGAGCACAGGACTACATATCCCATGAGCCTCCGGAGTCTTAGCAACTTCTAGGAGGCCATTGTTCCCCCTAGATACCCACCCTCGTCTTCCGCTGTAAGCAGAGTATTCTTTCTTCTTACCCAGTTTTTCATTTTCAAATGACCCCATTACCAACTCAGGCAAAGAGTCAGACCCCAGAAGCTATTCCTCCCCGTCTAGTCCCCATTCCTTCTATCAGTCCCCATCTTTTTGCCCTTCTACTTCTCTGTCTGGTCTGAACTCAAAAGGACTGGAATCTTGATTCAAGTGGTGGGGAGCTTGCCTAACTAGCAAGAGGCTTTGAGTTCAATCCCCACTACCAAAGAGGAAAACAAGGTAAAACTTAAAAAAACAAAAAACTAGGCAAAACTAGAAATGGCTTTCACCTGTCATCCTAAGCACTTGGGAGATTGAGAGGATCACAGTTCCAGGCCAAAAGGGCACAAGACTCAACAGCAGCCTGGCACATGGTGGCATGTGTCAGTCATCCCAGCTAGACTATAACAGGTGCCTCTGGAGGTTTTAATCATGTGGTGCCAAAATGAAGAGCTCTCTATGGCTGCCCTGAGAAGGCAGATTAAGGCAGAAAGGGAGCTGTAGAGGGCAGCAGACTGTGGTTCAGGGGAGTAAGCTTTGCTCTGGTTTGGACCCTTGCAAGGGGCAGGGTAGAGTCCACCACTGCGTCTGTTGTCTTATGTTGAGGCTCCAGGAGCTAATGCTGTGGCTAAAGAAGTGATCATCAGTCAGGTGTGGTAGTACAGGCCTGTAATCCCAGCACTTGGGAGGCTGAGGCAAGTTTGAGGCCTGCCTGGGCTACGTAGCAAGACACTGTCTCCAACAAAACAATAGAAACAGACATCAGCTCTGAACCTGTGGAGGGGTTTGATCTTGTGTGTATTGTGGATAGGCACTGTTTGTGTTCAAGGCTCTGTTGAGGTATGAGTGGGGGCGGGGTTGGTACTCTGCCTTGGTGCATCACAGACACGGTGGTCTTGCCAGGTGTTGGTCTTGTTTTGCTCAGCAGGAGTGAATTGTACTGGCTGTCAAAACACTTAGGACACTGAGGCAGGTGGCTGGGGCTGTGGACACTGGAGCTCACGAGTTGATCCAGGGATCCAGATTGCTTTCATGTTTGGCTCTCCATGTCATAGCACCAGGACAGCTGGCGTTTTGCTGGCCCAAGGGGAGGAGGAAAAGGTCCAAGACTAACAATGTTCTTTTCTTCCTCTGGCGATTCTGGGGATAGAATTTAGGGCTTCATGCTTAGTAAATGATGGCTACCACTCTACCACTTGACCCAGAAACCGTTTTGCTTTTTTTTTTTTCCAGTTAGGGTCTCACTGACTTCCCCCAGGCTGGCCTCAAACCTCAATCTTGTCTCTGCCTTCCCAGTAGCCAGGATTCTAGGTGTATCCTCATCACACCTGGCCTAAGCAATTTTAAGTAAATAACTCCAAAGTTGGACCTCTTTCTAACACTCTGTTGAGGAGAGCATGGTCACATGGACACACATAGCTGTAAGGGAGGCTGCATAGCTGTGTGCTAGGCACTGGTCAGTACAACTTCTAAAGTTAAAAGGGAAGGGGACACTGAGAGATGGGCTGTAGGAAGCCAGCTGACAAGTAGGGGCCAGATATGAGGCAATCATCTGTTAGGTTTCATGAAGTAGGCTCGTTTCTTAAGAGGGTTCAGGGGCAGGGGAGGGAGAGGGGAATACTCACATGCTAGACTTAAATGCTTTTTGGTTTTGGTGTTGCCATACTGGTTTTGCTCCATTCTTGCTCTTGGTAAGCAAGCACTCAACTACTTGAGTTACTCTACAAGTCCTTTCTTGTATTTTCAAGATAGGGTCACAGAGCTGGGCACTGATGGCTCACACATGTAATCCTAGCAACTCAGGGGATTGAAATCTGAGGATCGTGGTTCAAAGCCAGCCTAGGTTGAAAGTCCATGAGATTTTTGTCTTCAGTTAATCACAGAAAAAGCCAGAAGTGGAGCTGTGGCTCACGTGGTAGAATGCTAGCCTTGAGCAAAAGGTACTCAGGGGCAGTGCCCAGGTCCACAGTTCAAGCCCCAGAACTGGCAAAAGAAAAAAGGGGGGGAGGGGGAGTGTCTCAGTTTATGCCAGGGATGTGATCCTCCTATTTGTGTTTCCTTTAGTTACTAGGATGACAGGTGTGGACTACTGTGCTCAGCCTGTGGTCTAGATAGTCTGTGAACTTTATCACAGGGGCTGGCCCCAAACTGTGAACCTCCCTATCTCTGACTCCTAAGTAGCTAGGATTATTGACTTGAACCACTGTGCTTGACTCAGACAACATGATACAATGAAGAAGCCTGGTGGGGTTGACCAGAAGGGGAAGCAAAGAGAAGGAAGGGGCCATTTGCTTCTTCCAGCCCTGTGGTCTCCCTCTGGTGCCCCCTTCAGGCAGAGCTTAACGAGAGAACACAGCTGTCTCAGCTTCAGCTTCAGGGAGCCATTTGAAAGGGCAGCATTTGGAGCTGAGAGATGAAAACCCTAGAGCTGGCCTCTGTGCACAGTGCTGGGCTCAAAGCTGAGGAGGGTTTGGGGCTGATGACACTGGGGTCTCTGTCCTCAGGAACTGTCCGTGTGGACCTGGAGACTCCGGAGGAGATACAAGTTCGCAGCCTGGGCAGGCTCTTCAAATCCTCGTGAGTGGCTTCTTCCCCGCACAGCCTCTGCTCTCAGCCCCCCCTCCACAAGGTGACAGCAGTGTCCCCTGACTTTGGAGACCTTTGCTCTTTGCTCTCTCCCCAGGAAGCAGTACATGAGGCATGTCATCGCAGAATATGAGGCACTGGACAGAGACCTCCCATGCATCCGCAAGTTCTCCACCCCTCCTGCCGCCCAGCCGCTCTGCCTGTGCATGGAGACCTCAGTGAGTGCCCTCCCCAGTGAGTGCCCCTTCCTCCTCAGTGAGTGCCCTTGGTAGTCCCTGGGTTTCTAGTCTAGGTGGGAATCAGGATTGAGGTGACTGAGGTTAAAATCTCAGCTCTGTGGTACACCAGCTGTAGGCTTGGCCCTGGCCCCATTTGCAAGAATCAATTGTGGATTTATGAAAGGATCACTTGTTAAACTTAAGCATCCCAGAGGGGAGGCAGAGAGGCAGACAGCCCGAGGCTGAGGGCAAAAGGAGCCCTGTGAATCGATCTGCTGAGGAATTCTGTGATGTTTCAAATACAATAAAAAACTCACTCATAAGGGAAAAACCCATGCTTTTGCCAGAGTTGGCCATTCTGCAGAGTCCTTTGGCAATCACATCCCACAGTTACAGGTGGTGGCTTTGAGGAGGTGATCCTCCAGACTTTCACTCATCCCTCCTGGGAGTGACCAACTGCCTGGTTTCACACACAAGCTGGGCATAGTACTGTGGTGCGTGCCTGTAATCCCAGCTAGGCAGGAGGGGGAACGTAGGAGGATCTTGGTCCAAGGCTGGCTCTGGACAAAGCTTGAGACCCTATCTGAAAAGTTAATTTAAAAAAAAAAAAAGGTTAGAAAGGAGGCTAGAGAGGCAGAACCACGCTGGATGCTCTGAATTCAAACTCCAGGACCACCAAAAAAAGGAAAAACCACGCACGCACACGCACTCACCCCTCCCCACGAGTCTCAGCCTCCGCGGGCTGAGCATCCCTTGGGATGCGCGCGTTAGCCCGGCCGCGTCGGCGCCTCCACCCCGGCTTCCGGGCGAGGCCACCCGGGACACCCGTCCAGCCACCGGCTCCGTGGCTTCCCCTCGCGGGAATGACTGAGGATGATCTCTCGCCCCGGACGCGGGCGACTCCTTCCCGCTCGATGCCACGTGGAGCCTCGGCGGCCTCTGCACGTGGGGGGCTAGGGTAGTGATGTGGGGACCGGGCTGGAACCGAGCACTGAGCCTCTCCATCTGACTCCTCCAGGAGGATTTCACCCACCTGGAGGTGCTGCAGGCGCTGGAGGCCGAGTTACCCGGAGCCATGGAGGGCGGGCGCGTGAACAGCATCCGCTTTGAGAACATGAACGTCATCTGCGGGACCGCGGGCCGCCGGGACCGGTGAGCGCGCGCCGAGGTCTGCGCCGGAAAGCGGGTGGGCGGGGCCAGAGGAAAGCCGTGGGGGCGGGGTTGATAGCGGGCAGTGAGACTGGGCGGGGCCAAAGGAGGGTCGTGGGCACGCGTACTGGTGGGCGTGGCTAGAGGAACGCGGTGGGGGCAGGGCCGAGGGCGCGTAATACGGATGGGTGGAGCCGTGAGGGCGGGGTCTAGGACGCCTAAATGGTGGGCGGGCTCAAAGGAGGGCCAAAGAAGGCAGGGCCGAACGCACTGATACTGGTGGGTGGGGTCAGAGGCATGCGGTAGGGGTGGGGCCTAGAGCGCGTAATGCTGGTGGGCGGGGCTAGAGGAGAGCCTGCGAGAGGGGCGGTGGTGAATGCATGAGGGTGCGTGGCCAAGAACAAGGAGGGTGGAGTCGGGAGAGGACAAAGGGGGCGGGCCGAGTACGAAGGGAGATCCCAGGGAAGAGATCCGGAGTGACCTGGGCCGTGATGGGTACAGGTAAAGCCAGGATGTGCGTTCTGCACCTAGAAAGGCTGAGCGAGAAGGGGACACCTAGAAAAACGTAGGTGAGGGTAGAGCCGAAAGGGACTCGAGGGACAGAGTTAACGGTGTACGGGGACCCGGCCGTGACCGCCAGCCAGCCAACGTCGCGCCCCTTTCCCTCCGGGCCCCGCCCCTCCGCAGGTGGCTCATCTCCGTCGCCGACTTCCAGACGCGCTCGCGCCTGCTGCGCTCGGGCCTCAGCCCCCGCGGGCTCGCGCACCAGCTGGTGCGCCACGACGACCTGCTGCTGGACGACTACCGCCTGCACCTGCGCCGCTCTCAGGTCCGACGGCGCATGCTCGAGGCCCTGGGGGCGGACCCGACCGAGGAGGATTGACGCGCAAGGCGGGTTCCGGCTGTGCCTGCGCCCCGCCCCGCTGGCTCGGGAGACCCAATCCCCAACCCCGGAGGACGAGGGAGCGGCGCCTCCCCAGGAAGGAGGCGGGGCCGGCTCGAGGGGGTGGATACTGCGAGTTTAATTATAAAGAATGACCTGGTACAAAAGCCATTTCTCTCTGCAAAATCTCGGTGGGGAGTCAGGGGAGGGAGGTGATGGGGGTAGGGACGAACCCCCACCTTATAATCCCGCCTCCCTAACCTTACTCCAGCCCGGAATGGACCCCGGGGTTCCAATCCCTTCAGGGACCACCGTAGCAACCCATGTCTCTCCAGAACCGACGTCTCCACCCGCCCCTCTCCCTCATCTCCCCACTCCCCTTGGAAGACAATTCTCGGGCTTTTATTTCAGGTTTTTTTTTCTGAAAATTTTTTTGTTTTAGGGTTTTTTTTGTTTTGCTTTGTAATTTGTTATTTCTTTTTGCTTTGTATCTCCTCTCCACCCCGCGCTGCACCCCCCCC